ATAAGATCAACGAAAACCAAACATTAACTAACACAATTTCAAATAATGAGTGTTCAACGAAGTCCTTTAGCAACACGAAGCCAAAAACAGCTACAGGCCGAAAACAATTCAAACTCAATTGAAAAAAACTACGACACTTGTTTACACCAAAAACTAGGTAGTATATCTCACTCTTGGAGTGAACAATGCCGTACCCCACTGATAAGCTCACCTCATACGCCCACGCTGGGACTTTCCCCAACGAATCTAATAGCACATTCCTGCTCAACATCAACATGTACTACAAATAGCGTCACAGTATGCACTGCAAACTCGATAACTAACACCTTGAGTTCTACATCAACTCAGATATCCGTTTCGTCTACTCATGCCTTATCTTTACTTCCAACAACTTCGGTAAGTTCAATCGCTAATATATCAAACAATATACTGAACGAAATGACTACTACATCAAATTGCGCTATGCTCTCTACACCTGTGCACAAAGAGCAGAACAGCCAAAAAACTTTCAAATTACATACTCAATCGAAGGGAAACTCAAAAGAAAACTTATTAAGCAACTCTTCAATACAAAAAATTAAACTTCCAAAAGAAAGTCAGAAAAGAACTCGTTCAAGTCCTGAAATTCGTCGTTCAAAAAATGCTGAACAAACTAAAAAACAAGCTAAATTAGATAATTACTGGCTAGACAATCCAAGCCGTTCCGTAAATAGATTTTCAGTACTAGAAACAGAAGAAGAAGAAGTTGAAGAAGTGACACAACATGCCGAAAAACAGCCCAAACCTCCACCAATATTCGTAGATAGGGTGAATAACATAAATCCTCTCATAAATCTTTTGTCCTCACAAGTAGAAAACAATTTTGAGCTAAAAGTTTTAAACAACGAAAAGGTAAAAATCCAAGCAAAAACAACTGAGTCTTATGTTACAATAGTAAAGCAACTCGAATCGAAAAAAACCGAATTTTATACCTACAAGCCTAAAGATGAACGAAATTTTAAAGCTATCTTGAGAAATATGCATTCGTCTGTCAATACCGAGGACATTAAAACAGCTCTGGCGGAAATAGGCCATAAAGCTCTAAACGTGTTCAATATGAAACACAGAGAATCGAAAAAACCACTTCCTCTCTTCATTGTAGAACTTGAGCCTCAACAAAATATCAAGGAGATCTACAGCATAAAGAATTTGATGCATAGTCGAGTCACGTTTGAGCCTCCTCGTCCTAAACGAGACATTCCTCAGTGTAGTAACTGCCAAGACTATGGCCACACGAAAAGTTATTGTCGAAGACATCCGAGGTGCATCAAATGTGCAAAAAACCATTCTTCGTCTCAATGTCCAATCCAAGGAAGAAGTACTGAAGTCAAATGCGTATTATGCGAAGGAAATCATCCTGCAAATTATAAAGGCTGTTCGATATATAAGCAGCTACAAACCGCGAAATTTCCAACACTAAAACCTAAACCAACAACAACTACAAACAAAGAAACTGACGAAGAAAAAGACAAAGTTTCTATCCCAAGGGATCCCAAAAGAAGTTATGCTAGTGTGCTAGTGGAACAATCACCTAAATCTCATACTATTCCTAAATCTCCAGATACCATGAGCGAAGTTCTAATAGTAGTTAAGCAAATGTTAGAAAAAATCACTACGTTAATGAATGTTCTTGTCACGCTGACGACTAAATTATGTCCGACAGTGAATTAAATATAGTGCTCTGGAATGCGAATGGGCTGTCAAAACACTGTTTAGAGTTACAAGAATTTTTAAAAGATCAAAAAGTAGACATCATGCTAATATCTGAAACACGTTTTACTTCAAAACATTATTTTAAAGTATCAGGCTATGACTTTTACCACACTATGCATCCCGATGGAACGGCTCATGGGGGAAGTGGCATTTTAGTTAAAACAAATATATTACACTTTGAAATGCAACAATACCGCACTGAAGAGATTCAAGCAACCAGCATATCAGTAAAAGATTGGTGTGGCTCAATCACAATAACATCAGTATACTGTCCACCAAAACACGCAACTAAGACGGCAACATATAAAAAATTCTTTAGAACCTTAGGTAACAGATTTATTGCGGGGGGAGATTTTAATGCTAAACACGTTGAATGGGGCTCTCGGCTTTCAACACCCAAAGGACGACAGATGCTTGCGGCTATAAGAAGCGAAAACCTTTCAACTATCTCGTCTGGAGAACCAACTTATTGGCCCACGGATCCCAAAAAAAATGCCAGACTTGTTAGACTTTTGTGTTACTAAAGGAGTGCGACAAAACGACACTTTCTGTAAATCTAGCTTTGATCTTTCATCAGATCACTCGCCAGTATTATTACGGATAAAATCGAATATACAACTTAAAGTTCAAAAATGTTATCTGCACAACAAATTAACCAACTGGGATGCCTTTAGGCATACACTTAAGGCATTAATTGATGAAAAAATGGCGCTTAAAACAGACGAAGAAATTGCGCTTGCAACCGAACATCTTATAAGGAGTATTCAACAATCAGCCTGGAGATCCACGCCTTCAAACATGCAACAATTCGCCACACCATTATGTAGTACGACTCAAGAACTTATAAGAGCCAAAAGAGCAGCCAGAAGGCGCTGGCAACAAACCAAATCTCCGAAAGATAAAAAACTTTTTAATGTGCTGATCAAAAATCTAAAAGAACATCTGAAAACAACCAGAAATTTGGAAATACAAAGAAATCTCCAAAGACTAGACGCAACTACTTCCACCAACTACTCTCTCTGGCGAGCAATCAAGAAACAGACAACAACGCACAATGCACCAGTAAAAAACGAACTAGGGCAATGGGCCCGAACAGATACAGAAAAATGTAAAGTATTTACGGACCATCTGTCTTCAGTTTTTGTTCCA